ACACTGTATCCAATTATGTTAATACTTTATGCTTATTACAATGTCAACAACCATTAAGTGAAATAAGTGAATTTATTTTTCCAAATAGGCTACAAGGCAGCACTTATCCACGTCAAGCTATAACCAATGATGTATCATTGGCTATAACAATATTAACATTATATTAATATTGAAAACAAAATAATGACGTCACCAAGTAAAAGTGTTAGCTATTTATTATAATGAATGCTATGTTAATTTTATGCGTCTGCCTCCAATTTATACAGAAGTAGATATGCGTGTATGTCAGTTAAATTATATGTCGAAAACAGCTCGGCGATTTCTGATGCATTTTTAGATATTTTCTGTTTAATTGACTGTTTATGCGGGTAACACAAGATTGTCATTTTCATTTATTTTATTTTATTTATTTATTTATTTAATTTTTTTGTACAATGGGTATACAATGGCGAACTTAATGCCTAGTGGCATTCTCTAACTGTCAACCAAAGGGGTTTTTTAATGGCATAAGCTCACAAAAATGCTCACATTTGAAGGAGCACAGCTTTATAATAAAATACACATATAACCTTCACGCATAAGAAACCTGCACTCATTCAACGCATTCAAAACTCAGCTTTACAAATATTTACTTCTTAATCAAATACCCGAAAAATGAATGTGTTGGATGGGACTTATTTATTGTCATGTTTTGTCCAGATGTTGTCGAGCCTAACCTTACCTACCTATGTTGTTATGTTCTCAAGTAAGTGGCATGTATGTTATTATTGAGAATAAAGATTCTTTAAACCTTTTATAAGCCGGTAAAGGAGCAGACGGATCACTTAATGGTAAGCAATCGGCGTCGCCCATGGACATCTCGAACACCAGAGGCGTCACAAGTGCGTTACCGGCCTTTTGAGGATTAGGAGTTTGAGGATCGTTGGGGATTCAGGGATTGGGGAGATTGGGGTATTACAATATATACGTCATGCACAACGAACAGTAGACAAGTAAGTAAGTACATACCTAAATACACGATTTTATCTTAAAACTGAGCAGTCATAACTCTATTGTGGAGTAGATAGTAATTATATAAACCACACCATTTCACCAAACAGATCATAACTCAAAAATACAAAAATACCGCAAAAATGTAAAGCACTCCAACTCTAACTCAAAAGCATTTATTTTGATTAAACCATAGTTTAGTACCTTTGACACGTCAAGAAATATCAAATAAAGAATTATTTAATTCCCATTCCCCAAAAGGCCGGTAACGCACCTGTAACGCCTTGGTGTTTCAGGTGTCCATCGGCGGTGCCGATTGCTTATCATCAAATACCTAATCCGTCAGCTCGTTTACTGGCTTATGCCAATAAAAAAAAGTCTGTCAGTCTGTCCGTCAGTGAAGCTAGGTGCTGTATAAAAATACGGAGGACCTTTTTTTAATATTTGATGGGACAACGTTTGCTCACTATCTCGCCTGGTGGTAACCGATGCTGCGGTCTACCATGGAGCACGTCTGTAGCTTATCTAAAGTACTTCAAGCCCCTATTGTGTATGAGTATGACTTAATCTTATCCAGATTTAATAAGATACTAGTATGTATAGAGCGAGCCCCCATCCATGAGATACCATGTCTAACTTTGTTGATCCCAAAATAAGAAGTAACATTTTAATCTACTAAAACGAACCCCTTACATCTTCGACGCTACTGAACTAACAGTCCAACCCACTATAATTAACTACTGCTGCTATCTCAAAGAAAGAGCGCGAAGCTTCAATGCCAACATTAAAAGTGAAATCCATGAACAAACAGGTCACCCGGCTTCGCCTGCCTCGTAACCGGATATTTGATTGTTTGAATTTCCTCTCTTAAAGTAAATATGAATTATTTATAGCGTTTATGTTAATGTGAATCAATAATATTATAATGTTTGTCTGTCTTCGAGTCGAGTTTAAGATTAATTTTTATGAGAACCTCGTTTGACTTTGATGGTTGTAACGTACGCTTCCGTCTTGCGTCTAGGTAGTCTAGAAATCCTCTTGTTATGTTACTAATCTCATATAGAGGTAGAATATTAAACATACATTTATTATAAGACTGCCTCGTTAGCCGAGTGGTCGCAAGTGCCACTGCAGGGCAAGGGGTTCGATTCCCGGGTCGGGCAAAGTATTACTGTGTTTTTTCTTGAAAATCTTAGTAATAGCACGAAGTCTAGAATTATGCCCGGTATAGCTATAGCAATAGGCTCACCCCCTATTACATGGGACTCATAACATAAATAGTGACAAGTGGGTGTTGCTTGTGTGCACCGCTGCCTACCCCTTCGGGGATAAAAGGCGTGTTTAAATTATGATGTAATTTATTATAAGTGTAATATCATAATAAATGTAGTGCAAGATGTCTATAACCATCCCTAAATCACACAGAAACAGCTGGCGATCTGACATTGCTCATAGGAAGATCCACGTTGCCTCCAATCGGGGTAATCTGAAAGTCATTGTAAGAGGTTTATATGCACACAGTAAATGTCTATTGAGACTGTTATGAGGATGATGAAACCCATTTGACTAAAATATCATAAAAATAATTTGTGTTACTGGTTTTTTTAACAAATTTATTTAGTGAAATTTGAAATATGTATGGCATTAAATCTAAACTTTCAAGTTTGATGGCGAAATACGCTAATTACACATAAATACATAAGATTCATATTATATATAATATTTTATTCACAAAATAAACTCTTCATGAAGTAAATACATAAGATTTGTTTCTTTAACATAACTTAAAGAAAAGAAATAAGTCAATAAAATCCATTACAAATTAATGACGACTCTATAATCCAAGCCAAGACATCATTCACCATATATATAGTAACCACAAAACGCAATCAATAAAATGGTTTAATATTTGCTTCTACAGTGAAAACAATAACTTCACAAAATGTGGTTTTGTTCGTACGTGGTGAGTAGATTGAATTAAACTTAAAGTTATAGATACAAACATAGTAACAGCTAATTTTATAAGTTATTGTCGATATCAAAGGGTAAGTCGTTTATTTATTGCACATAATAGTTTTAAATAGAGCACAAAATAGAGGTATACACAACGAGAACTAGATCAAGACGTAATCTTACGATTTCATAAGAAATTTACAATATTTATTTTTTTATCCCACTAATAATAAAAATAAATGGAAATTAGTATGGGTATCCGAATTCTTTATTCAATTTATAGCCAATCAAAAGAGAAATTGGAAAAATGTGAATCTGGATTAATAGAGAAAATTTAATTTGTACATGACGTCATGTAGACAAAATTCTGTGCTAGATTAGGTTTTTAGTAAATTAACACATATTCATTTTACATAGTTGTAAAATGAATATGTGTTAATTTAGCGTAGTCGCTAGTAGCGTTCCTAGCGTAGTCGCTAGGCCACTGTTTTGAGGCCATACCCTGGTTACTGCCTACTGATGACCGTCTATTTGACCCAGCAGCCGGTTTTACAGGTCTACCTGACTAGACGGACAACATTAGCTAGTTAGTAAAGTTATCAATATCCATAAAATCTACTTTTATTAACCCAGGCTCAGGAATGTTGAATGCAAAAAAAAAATACAAGAATTATTTGCATTTTTTTTTGTCATCTGAGTTGTGCCTAAAGATAATATGAAGATGTTGAATAATAGAACAAGTTAGCTCTCTAGGCAAAATTAAAGAGGTTCTTTACAAAGGCGATTAAGCTAGTAGTGATAAAACTATGTACAAAATATACAACATTAGCAGGGAGTTGTCAAAAGAGAATTTACTTACCTGTATGAAGATTATGCACTTTTGTTGCATTGTCTAATCAAAATAATAAACTCAACCACGTGGACTTAGTTAAAAGAAAACAAAAAGAAACCCGGCTGGTGGTAGTTTCAAATAATTACCTAAATACAACAACAATAAGACCACTTTTCCCATGCAATAATTGGACAACAACCATTAGATAGCCGGTGATTAAAAAAAGAATGTTCTATAACATAATGTTTGGCCCATTCATCTAAACGAGAGACAAAGCGGTACAAATAAATGAAATGTTCATAATAGCTATTATGGTACGACAAAAAACGGGCTTACTCACAATTGACGCAATGCAAGTCATAATTCATGAACCATTACATCGCAACTTTCTACATTAGTAAATCCCTCTGATGGTAAAAGTCGACTAGATTTTTACTATCGTCACTAACAGAATCATCTAGACTTAAAACTGCAACATCATTGGGTAAGACAATAATATCTACTACAAGATCACAGTTATCAACATAAAGTCGTATTGTCATTTTATACCCGATCGTAGGTAGTCTACCCAATGTCTCTCTAACTTTACTCTCAATGAAGATGAAATTGGACTAAAACACGTGAAACTTCATCTATAGAAAGTGGAGGCTTCACTTTATATACTTTTAACCTGTTTTATCGTTTACCAGTTTCGAGAATCAACTTTAGCTATGTTTATATGCTTATAAATATGTGGAACATAAGAATACGCATATTATTATCGGAGAGAGTTCGAACTACTCGTTATGTATTGAATTAGAATTTTTATATACTTCCGGAAATTTCGGGAAATGTAAACTCGTTTTGGAAATTGTTAACGTGGGATTGGTTGGTACTTTTGATGATTTTAATGTCATTATATGTTTAGAAATTGAACACAGTTCCGGAACAACCACACCCATGAGCTCGAGATGTAATAACATATGGCGGTCTGTCTCCAAAGGGATCTTTATATTCAAACCGGCCGCCTACTGACATACGAGTAGTTTTTTTATAGTTCACGCTTGCGGCAAACTGACTACCATAAATAATATCAATCATCGAATGAAAGTAAAACGTAATAAACTGGTTTGGCATGTTCGTAAACTTATACAGAGACGTGACTTCGAGTAATTTCGATTTCCGTTTCAAATCTATCCAAAATGTAATCTGTAACACCTTTCAATCCAATAATAAAACAATGATAGTATTTGGTAATAATAAATAGTTTATTCAACAATAAATTAATGGCAATAAATTAGATAATAAATAAATTCTTTGTACAACAGAGGTTACAACGACGTTTGAAATCGTCGATTAACTAAAAAGTCTTTTTGTCTAAGATGAGCGCGAGTAGGCGCTGTATGCTAGGTTTTGGGCTTCGTCGAGGTTCTTGTTCCAGTCGGATCCGTAGCTGGAGTGACCTCCGTGGCCGCCACCGTAGCCGCCAGCGTCGTGGGAAACGTGCTCAACATGGACGGGGTGGTGAGACTCATGGTGGTGAGCATGGGGAATGACCTCATAAGTGGTTTTGGTCTGCTCACCCTTCAAGCAGTAAGCGACGAAGAGGATGGCTGCGAGGACAAGGGCGATCTTGGCGGTAGCGAGGGCCTTGAGGGCGATGAGCTTGACGATGAACAGTTTGCCGAGCAACAGTTTAGCTCCCAACAGACCAATGATACCGCCCATACCGCCTCCCTTCTTTTTGCCACGACCTGAGAACAGAAGATATTAGTCAAAATATTTGGCAAATGGTATTACGGCATGTTCTAACTATAACAAATGATTTCATAAAGAAACTAATTCAATTGAAGCTACAATGTTTACTTCTAAATCTCCAGCAAGGCGTAACAAACTTGTCAAGTTTTTTCTTGACTCCATAATTATTGCGTTCGTTTCAAGTCATTGACTTAATCAGTTTTCTATTTATATTCAAAGTGGATCTATTTATAGCTTTGTAGTAATAGTATATTTACCTTCTTCGAGTGATCTTTGGATGGATTCTTTGTCAGCCTGGTTCATTTTGACCTCGAGGGCGTGAGTTTCGAACAGGCTCACGACTCCATCGACCAGCCTGTAGTTGACCTCAGCGTCCCTAGCCGTGGGGTCAACAGGCAGGGCATCCAGTTTCTTCGCTGACCTTGGCTCAGGTTCACCCTTGAAGACGACACCATCTACAACTGTGATACTCCTCGATGCTCTCAAATTGTCGACAATTCTGAGCATTTTTTCCTGTGAAAGAAAATTTTTATTAGAGTTAACATTGATAAAATTCTTATTATCGATTTAGAATTTGGTAGAATTGTCTGGAATGCTGATGTTAAATAATTTGGGCACTCAAAACTTGAAAACGAAACTGGAAACGTTAATTATATGAACTGGCCGTTGTCCACGTAATTTAGATAGTATGCACGCTTGTTATAAGTGAAATGAGAAATCCTCGACATCAACCACTGCGAAACCTGATTCCACGACACACACTTCACTTTCACTTTATTAATAAAATTATTAACCTTCACACATAATATGTAGTCTCCTTTGCAGTCCTTAATGAAGTTAATCGCCGATTCTAATGTGTTATCACTGTCTTCAGCAGAGACAAAGGCCGTAGCCGCCAAGATAACTAAGAAAAGTTTCATTTTGTTTTGATTTTTTTTTTATTCTTTTTTTTTAGATATGTTTTTCCGACATCTAGGGATGTCAAGCAATGTTTGGCGTTGCGATTGGACCGCTATACAGTTTTATCATATTCCCCCCCACCTGATTTCTGTATGAAGCACGTTGGACCATCTAGGTTAAGATGAGGTTTTCATCATTTTAAGCTTTATTGTCATGTGTATAAGATTAGTTTTAGTGTGAGAGATTAGTACTAGGGTTTGTTGTGCATTCTTAAGGTCAGGTTCTTGAATGGCCGGTGCTAAAATATTTGTATATTTTGATAGTAATTTACGTGAAATGAATAATTTATCTATGTGGGTTATTCAAGGCATTGTGGACATAGTATTAGGATATAATTATTTTTAAATATGTATTTTCGAATAGAAATTATGGTTTTCGGTCAATGGACGTAACGTAAAAGTAGAGAATGGATAATAAATAATTTATGAATGAAATTATTTCATGTTGCTTGTTGGATGGGGAGTTATCAGATGGTATTATGTGTTTATAATGGTAATTCTTATAAAAGAGAGTAGAAATTATAGTTAGAGTAATTGCTCTAGTGTAATAGTAATATGATGCGTAGTGACTAATTATTCGTAACAAATTAATCGTCATGTTAACAATAGGTACTTCAATTATGCAATCAATGTGTTACAATATAAGTTACATTATTCACATTCTACTCGATATTTTCAGTATACAATTATGAGTTTATGCAGTTGTTTAATAAATGCAATTTAAGCATTTTGACTAATGAGTGAAAATAGTGTCTGATAAATGCATTGGAATAATTATAACATTTATTTTGCTGTTTCTAAATGTATTTGTAATTTCTTATTACTCGTTTTATATGATTTGATATTATAGTGATTATTTTACATTATAATATCACACCTTCTAACCTACGAAGGGTAGTTAGAAATGTACATATGCTTAAATTATACAATGTAACAGCCAATTTGCAGGAGTAATCTTATAAGTCCTATGTAATATGGGGTGAGGCTATTGCCATATACTGCACACAATTCAAGTCTTTGTTAGTACAAATGATTTGATGATGCTGATGGATGAGTTTAATATGTCGATAAACTATCATCATCAACTTCTTATAAGTGCCCACTCCTGAGCGAAGCCTCTTCTCACGCAGAGAAGGTTTGAGTAATAATCACCACGCTTGCTCATTGCGGGTTGGCGATTTCAAACTTATAATTAGAAATGATAAGCCCAGGTTTCCTCACGATGTTTTCCTTTACAGATAGCGGTGTCTAAATAATCTTAGAACGTATATAAAGTCGGAAAACTCATATTTAACATTGGTAGGTTTCGAACCCGCACCCTCATGCATTAGAAACGGGCGTCTTAACTTCCATACTACCACACCTTTTTAATGTTAATTAATATTAAATTTTTTATTCAACAAAAAAATATCAACAAGAAATCCACACATGAAACTCAAAATCACAATTTTATTCCAAAAACACTTTTCATTTCATTCAATTTCGTTTTTTAAATTTCCTTACTTCGCTTAGTTACATAAAATAAAATAAAATAAATGAATACATAAAATTCGGGCAATAATTTATTCACAATGTTAATATGGCGATAAATTTCTTGCCTAGCGGTACAGTTTGGCTTCGCTCGGCTAGTCTTGTTCAATTCATCTCATCTTCAATTTACCGTGATAGTATATCCCATATGTTTACTGGGGTATTAAGGATTACTGTTCAACAGTTTCTGAAGTTTCCGTTAAATTACGTCCACGTGAATTTATCGTTGAAACTCGGGATAAGATCGAATTACTCCGCTTCTTAACGATCGTGATTTAATAGTGAAAACCACGGGGTCTAGAATTTCCGGGCGAATAGTGTAGATTTTAGTTGCGATTAGACTGTTTTATTTTGCACAGTAAATAATATTATTATCTTGTTTTCTACTTCCTTTTGGATTTACTTTGTTTTAATTGCTTGCTATGAATAATATATACAATTAATATTAACTATTAAAATAATAATAATGAACAAGCAATTATAAGGCATCAAAAAAAAATTGATTGCTTGCTTAACTTCAAGATTCAGCAATCTATGTAGATAGACAAAAACCTTCGTATTAAATTAATTATTATCTAATGATTAAATAATTAACAACATTAATTTATTGCTATTAGAATTAATAATATATTTGACTAAAAATAGAGTAAGCTTGAAAATATAATATTAAGAACATATAATATACATAATTTTACTATTGTGTAAAGTCGATTAAACATTAATCTAGATCGGTATTATCTAATGTTTAATATATCGAAGCTACTTTACGATATATGATCTATTATTATAGTAATCTGTAAACAAGATTTATCTATTATTTAAATTTTTCACTCAAAATATTAACAGCCCGCAACAGACCACAGCTGAAATGTATGTCCTCTCTACATAAAAGGGATATCCATGATAACCTCAGCTTGGCTTGGCTAGGGAATTATAGCCAAAATAACTTCCTTCCGTGTGCGTACTGCTAAGGTTTGGAATTATTTGTCTGTATTTCCTGAAGGGTATATAACCTGGTTGTCTTCAAGGCCCGAGTGAATAGGTTGCTTATGGGACGATGTGCTCCATCGTAGACCGCATGATAGCATAACACCATGCGAGATAGTGGTCAAACGGTGGCCCATAAAATACAAAAAGGCACACACACAGCGCACTGCTATCCTGCCTCTGATGCATACTATTGTGTGATCACTTACAGCCTTAATGACTCTACTAAAATCTACATAAAAATCAAAATCATAATTAACTTGTTCTGCATCAAATACACCATCCGTGCACTCCATTACATTAACTATTCAGTAAGTTTATAACACTATTACAGCTGTTATGTACTTTATTGTACATATAAAACTTATATTATTATTGTTTTACGAACTCAATACTATGGTCAGTTACTTTGTTAATTTTTCTATTTGTACTAGTACGGGTACTTGATTGTTATTATTTCAGTTACTATCTTTAGTTGATTGGTTAGTTTGATTGCACCCAATAATGTCCTAAACATACGAACGGCCACGGACCGGTGTCACTAAAACTTTGACCACACCAAAATATTGATTGATTAAAGTGCGATCCTCACATTTCTTGCCAAGGTGATTATGGCTTTGTTTAGCAGCTGAGGTTTCTATTTCATACAGATCTCATACATATTTTTATAATAAGTACATACTAAATTGACTAAAAATCGTGCGTTTCCCCCGTGAAAATACTGAGACGCAGCGTGTCTTCCTCATGAGTAGCGTGCGCGGTCGTGGCGCTCCTCTGTAGCTCGTAACTAGCAGAGCTTTTCTCAGTATTTTCACGTGAGTATCCCGCGATTTTAATTGAGATCTCATATACATATAATTGTACTGTAGTAACGTGCACAATGTATTATCTTCCAACTAGTTGCGATATCCCATGTGACTGGCAGTAGTAAGATATGAAGAGTTCAAGATCGAGCTCAGTTTCAAGTGACCTACGTCCAACAGTGTGCAGTAATGAGATGATGATGTGTTACTAAAGTATAATGTATCAAAAGTTGATGATCATATTTAGATTTTCAAAATCGCTGTACACTCTTATTACCAAAATCAGTCAACATGATAAGTGCTAGAGTATAATACGGTGTGCGAGTGCACGAGCACACGGATCACCTGATGGTAAGCAATCGGCATCGCTCATGGACACCTGGAACACAAGAGGCGTTACAAGTGCGTTACCGGCCTTTTGGGGATTAGGAGTTTGAGGATCGTTGGGGATTCAGGATATGGGGAGATTGGGAAAGAGGAGGGTAATTGGGCCTCCGGTAACCTCACTCACATGACGAAACACGGTGTATAGTGATTTTGAAAATCGAAATGTGTTCATCAACCTTAGATGCTGACTGTATACTCGTAAGCACTACTCTTGAGAATGCGGTATCAGTTTCAATCACTGAGTTTATTCTAGTAGACATTTTTTTACCATAAACATTATTTAAACTGTCAAACACCGCGCGGTCACCGGTGACCGCAACCTATTGTTCTATAATTGTGTCTATAATGCCGGTACTCGACGAGTTAATATTCCAATTTCTTAAGTACAAGTTATTTTGTTATTTAAATTTTAGTCACATTTTACTATCGACTCTATTGAGTAAGTTTTTAAGGTTTTGTTTTAATTCTTTGTTGAACTGTGTTAGAATTGTGTATCATTGCGTTTTTATTGTTCCGATATTTTAAATGAACCATCATTGAACTAATATTGGTTGGTACCGTAGTTATATCTATTTTTTAAACATACCCATTTAATATGGAGTTCATATCATAGCTACTAAAATAATACTCTCTGTATTACATAATTAATTGCACTCAAAGTGCAAATCAAAGAAAACCGACGTGAAGCAACGCTTGCGTCGTGTTTCGTCGTGTGAGTGAGGTTACCGGAGGCCCAATTACCCTCCCCTTCCCTAATCTCCTCAATTCCTGAATCTCCAACGATCCTCAAACTCCTATTCCCCAAAAGGCCGGTAACGCACTTGTAATGCCTCTGGTGTTCCAGGTGTCCTGGGGCGACGCCGATTGCTTACCATCAGGTGATCCGTCTGCTCGTTTACCGGCTAATGCCATAAAAAAAACTCTGCCCTTCCCAAAAACAAAATTATGAACTACTTAACGCATTCCTACTCAACCAAGCCTATTTCCATTCATAAAAAATTAGGAAATGAGCCACTAATTACAGAACAAAAAATTCTATCGTAATAGATGTTTAATTAGAAATTGTCTAGCAAACACCTTTATTTGAAGCCAATACAACATTAAGACAAATAATGAGTGGATGTAGAATTAGAAACTACACGAAACCTGTTCTCAGTATGTTATGGTGGATATCATTCTAAAATGCCTACTATGAAACGTGCTTGTCTAAAGGCTCTGTCAGACGGTAGCTGACGCACGTGTCAAGATTTCCCTATCAGTTGCAATTACGATTTTGATTTTGGTATAAAGAAAGAAATAATGTAATATTTATTTGCTAATAATGT